AATAAATGAACACTTACTGTCGTCTCCAAGCTTAGAAGCATAATCATTAATTAATTCTTCTCCGACCTCCATGATTTGTTCACTATTTCTTGAATTTTCTTCTCTCCATTTTCTCATTTTATCTCGCATTTCTGAAAAATATAACATTCACATTCTTTACATATATAAACATATGATAGATTTTAAAATACTGACTGAATGAAATCAACTATTTACATATGGAAATGAACTCTAACTATGAGGTGCAGGGAAGTAAACAAGAAAACAACTACAACAAAGGAAATCTTTGATTGAACTTAGGAAATAATATGAATAACATCAGTAAGACCAAATAATTATCATAAAATCGAGAACAACTTTGTGAATTACAATACAACAGGAAATTCTAGAATAAAGAACTCTGCTATGGTTTAAATGTCTCTCCAAAGTTCCGAGGTTGGAAATCTGATTCCTAATAACCCAGACTGGAGTGGAACCTTTAAGAGGCATTAGATCTTAGGGCTCTGTCCTAATGAAAAATAAAACCAGTATCAGGAGTGAGTTGACAGGGGTATTAGTTATCACAGGGGGCTATTCGTGACACAAGTTCCTGAATTTTGAAAGAAAAGCAGTTCTGCCCCTTAGGTCTTGTCTATTCACAAACTGTCAGCCTTCCCCAGTAGCTGAGAGCCAGAATGCCTTCACCATAAGCCAAAAACAATCTATTTTCTTTAAAGCAAAACAAAAATCCCATTAAAAATTAATGAAACTAAAAGCCCTGTCCGGAGGGCTAAGAACTGACTACAAAAAAAAAAAAAAAAAAAAAAAAACAAAAAAAAACAAAATCAAAGTATTCTAGAAGCATATCTAATCTGGTTCCTTTTAAATAATATTATAGGCTAAATGTGTATGACTCTTTTCAAGTTTTTTAAAGATCCCAAGACTCAAAGTGGTGACGTGCCCTCACAAGACAGCAGAGGTTTTGTCTTTGCTGTCAGACACTAGCTGTCTAGTCCTCACTGGACACTGGATCTGCCTCCAGAAAGGCACAGAAAACAATTTACAGTTCAAGACATCCACAGTGGCATAGTTGTTGTGTTGGCCGGAACTAAGACCAATAGTTAAGGTATGACTAACTGTCCAACTGAGTACATACATGGTTTCTTATTTTTAATCTGTACACAAAGATCAAGAGTGGAAATGCATTACTCAAACTGCCAGGGTTCAAATCTCAACACTGACACTTTCTACTTGTGTTAAATTAGCTGAGTTACTCACTTTGCACTTCAATGTCCTCCTCTATCAAGTGAATATAAAACAATACTTGTATAATTTGGCTATTGTAATGAACATTATTAATTAATTGTATGTGTTGAAAACAGGACCTGGCATAAGATGAGCTTTTAAGAAACAGCCATTGCTAATATTTCAGCCACTAATATTTTGTTCAGTTTTTCATGCATACTGCTTGTTTTCTATGGTCCCTGAATCAGCAGATTCTAGAACTTTGCCCTACTCATTCTATCTTCATCTATAACTGCAAATACTATCATCTCAGTGTGTTTACAGCACCTCTGGCTTGCTCTTTACTTTGCATTTTATCGAAGAGTTTACACTTGAGTCAAGAAACTACCACCTCGTGGCCAAAATTTGCAGTCAATTATTTTGGAGGCAAAGTTTTACTAGAACCTATGGCTTTTTTTTTTTTTTTTTACTTTTTTGAGCTGCAATGTTATATACAGGTATAGCCAATGGGAGCCAAACAATACACAAAGCCGCTGATGTTTACTATCTGGTTCTTCACTGGAAAAAACAGGCTGACACCTGGCTACACATACTAAGAAGCAAAAAGAGCAAGGAATCCAGTCTGAGCACTAAGACTTAGATCAAATCTGCCTCATCAACCTAAAATGGTGACTTGGACTTATCATTTAACACTTCTGCCACTTTGGTCATTAAGTACAAAGGATTCCAAGCTTTATAGGTCTCTCATCCAACTTAAATAAAGCCAACAGAGACCGCATGAGGGACAGGGCTAGGGTCTTCGGCTTTTGTCCTGCCTTTAAGCTGATTGTGATTACCGTTAGGAGGTCATGCCCTTGTGAATTCCTCCCAGGCATTACTCTAGTCTTTCATCCAATGTCATACACACATTGCCCCAGTTTTGTGGCCCTAATATTAAGTGATTTATGTAAAACATTCTAGTAAATGTAAAATACTACAAAATGTTTAGTTACCTTTTCTGTAAGTAAAATATGGGAAAATTTCTGGCTAGAAATAAAATTTTGGGAGTAATCCTTCCTTGAACATACTTTTCATTTTAGGCTGTCCCCCAAAGACGGCATGCTTTCTAAAGCCAGAGTCATTTTATTCTATAGATAGTCCCTACATGTAAAAGTTCCTCAGCACTTTCTTGTACATGCTATTAGCTGCTGTCTATGCACTGGGGGGAGGGGGGTATTATCAACATGAGAAGCTCCAAAGGTGCTATCCTGTTCATCTCCCCTAACAACTCGTTCTCACTGTGCTGAGACACCCGAGCCTTGAAAAATGAGGAAAGAGCGTGCTGCCTACTCTGCTTCTTTTTTACAAAATTCCTTCCTCCAACCTTGAATTTCCTCCACTCCAATGTGAATTCTGAAAAACCACTTACAGATTCACTTTTATGAATCAGCCTAAACCCTTTAAAAATTATTCAGTCCCGCCAATTTGCATCATAAGGTCACTTATAGGGTAATGAAAGTTGCTATGGGGCTGATGGAACAGTATGGGTACTAAATTTGAAGGGAAAACAAAACAAAACATTTATTCCCATGTATTGAAACTTCAGTAGAAGTGTTCTTCCAATTATGTACTACAATGCACTAGTGAGACATGAAATCAATCTAGCATGTTCCAGCATTTGAAAGCAAATGGACGCAGAGAACCCATGAAAAGAACAGGACGGAAAGTGTGAAGTGAACCTATTAGAATGCTATTAAGAAAACAAAGGCAAGGGGCTGCCAGAGGGATGACTCGGCTGGTAAAGTGATGGCTACAGAAGAATAAAGGCCTTAGTTCTGATCCCTAGAACCCTTGCAAAAAGCTGGCTATTGCAACACCCTCCCTTAATGTCAGTAATAGGACACAGAGATGGGTGGTCCATTGGCCAATCAGTCTAGCCAATCTGTGAGTTCAAGGGGTAGTGAGAGAAACTGTCTTGAAAAATTGGGTGGAAATCAATAGGCAAAACACCTGGCAGAAATTTATGGCACCTATATGCACATGTGAGCACGCACATGCGCGCACACACACACAGATAAAAAAATCAAAATCTTGCAGAGAGGGAATGATCTGTAATAGCAAATTAGCAAGAATAACACAGATGAGTAAGATAGAAACATCTGAATTGGCGCAAGGTCTTCCTAGCACCTTAAAGGAAAAGTTAGACGCAGAAAGCAAATTGTAACACCAGTGGCCATATCAACGAAATAGTCACAACACCTAAGGCTCAGAGAACATCCCAGACAGGCAGGCAGAAAGACTGGGAGTCAGAGATCAGCAAGTTGGCTGTGAGACTGTGTCTTCTAGATATGTCAGGGAAGCCACATCCATAAAATCTCAAAAGTGTGTTTTCCTATGGAATGAAGAACAAAAAACAAAACAAAACAATACAAACAAAAAAAAAGGATTCCCTATCTATTATATGCTAGGCACTGCACAAGATATCCTATCCAGCCCTGCATAAATACAAAGCCTCGGACCCTGGACTACTCTCCTTACAACTCTAACTTCTTTTTTCTATTTCCAACTTTCTACCTAACAAATAGTTTCAGCGGGGTCACAAAATGAGTTTCCAATCTATTCTTTTACAGCATGTATTTGAGACTTAACAGAGTGTTAGACTTACTATAGTCTTTTATACATAGCTGACAGATTTTTCCTGTTAAAAGAATTACAGGGGCTGGGAAGATGCTCAGAGACTAAGAGCTCTTGGTAGGTCAGAGTCCTTGCTTTTCAAGCACAAGAACCTGAGTTGATTCGCTCAGACCACATAAAAAGCCCTGGTTGCCCAGAACCTCACCCCTGAGAGGGACAAAGAGAGAGATCACTGGGGCTTGATGTCTTCCAGCCTAGCTTCAGGCTCAGTGAGAGACCCTGTCTCAAATGAATAATGTAGAGAGTGATCCAGCAAGACACCTAACTTCCTCTTCTGGTGTCTCTGTGTCCATGCACACTGGCACCCTAGTGTATAAAATATAACACACAT